AGGGGAAGGTGCGGTCGGTCACCCTGGGGACAAGGAAGGACAGCAGCAAGCCGGGAACAGTGGCAGGGTTGGGGCACTGAGACCAGGCAGAGAAGACGCTTCGGAGGGAAGCCCTTTCACCGAGGCAGAAGGTGCTCTGGACGGGCTTGCAGCAGAAGGCAAGCTTGGGCCACGGAGCTGCTTGTGCACAGACCCGCCGCGTCTTGCTCCAGGATTTGCGCCAGGAAAGCTGACAGGCAAGGGACCCTGAGACGGTCGTCTTGTTACTGACATTGAGGTTGAAGGATCATTAGAGCTGGAGTCAGAAGAAGCCAGTCTCCCCTCAGGAGGGTCAGGAATGGGATCAGCATTTACAAAGGGGAGGAGGGTGACCCAGCTGTGGTTTGTGCAAAAGGGAAAGAGCAGACCGTCTTGGGCTGAACGACCCCTAGACGTCCAGCCCCCCACCCCTGCCTTTCTCTGAGACACTCCAGCAATGAAACCCTGGCAGGCAGGCGTCTTCCTGGGGGTCCTGGGGCAGAAAGCACAGCAGGGGTCTTCAAAGGCCCGGGGACACCTCCTACCGATGGCCCCCCACTCCTCGGGACCCGCCCCCTGGAGCAGCCCCGGGTGGGGGGGCCCTGGGAGGCAGCGGATGAGGACCCTGGAGATCCAGGCAGGGTCAAGATGGAGCCCAGCAGGGGCAGCTGGGGAGCCAGGAGCGTCCCCTTTGAGGGCAGCGCAGGATGTGCAAGGAGAGGGCACCCCCACCCCCACAAAGGGCCGGTCTCATAGTATGGACCTTAGCAGAGACAGATCCCTCCAGCTTATAGCACAGCAGAATAAGCAGACCCCTGAAGCAAGGTGCTTGGGTGGTTGGGGGTTGGAGTAGCAGCCTCCTGGGGGAAGGGGAAGGGGACAGGAGGGGGAGGACAGGGAGGGGAGGGAAGAAGGGGGAGGGGAGGAGGGAGGAAGAAGTGGGAAGAGGGGCAGTGGAGGGAGGAGAGGAGAGGAGAGGAGGGAGGGGGGAGGGAAAAGAAGGGGGAGGAAGAGGGCAAGTGGAGGGGGAGGAGGAGGGGGGAGGGGAGCCGGAGCAGAAAAGGAAGGGGAGTGGGGAAGGGAGGAGAAAAAGCCCATGACTCCACTTTGCCGTTTGCCATCATCTTTCGGGAACTCAAGCTCTTAAGTTAAGTCCTGCGCTGACGAGCGGTTTCCCCACCGCGTCCCTGGGCGCAGTCCAGGGGGAGTACCTGGGTCTGGTGGGCCGGGCTGTCTCCGGGGGAGGGTCTGTTTGGAGGGAGGCGCACTGTTCCCCCGAGATGCCTTCCCTACCCTGCGAGTTTGAGTTTGTGCTGTGGTCTGCGGGTTACTTAAAAACCAAACCAAACCAAACCCCAGCTATTTATAAAGAGATGAACTCATCCCATCCTGGCTGGATGGAGTGGGGCGGGGACTGGCGATGACCCAGGGCCAGGAGGTCACTGGCGGGCCCACCGCTCTCCTTGTCCCCAGCAGCCCCAGAGGACCCCAGCCTCTTCAAGGATCCAGAATTCTCACACCACAGGCTACCCTGCCCACGCCCCCTCCCGCCCCCAGCTCCCCCCATCCCTCAACATGATCCTGGAATCGGATCCTGTTGGGGCGCCGGCTGGCTTAGGGGAGCGAGCACCCCTCGTTCAAGCCCCATGTTTGCTGTAGAGGGGACTTAAAATCTTTAAAACAAAATTCTCTTTTCAAAGTTCAATAGAATGATCTCCCTTCTAAGCAAAATATGAAACGGACACTATTTAATGTTTCTCTATACCATTAGGGACGATTGCGTGTTGTGGTCCCATCGTAACAGACGACCTCCTTCCCTGGCCGACAGCGGCACCGGCGGAGGAGAGGCCGCGGATCTCTGGGCTGCCCTGGCGGTTTGAGGGGGGCTGGCGGGTGTGGGGTCGGGGGGAGCGAGACCTTGCCACTCCTCAGATGTGGGGAGCCCACTGGCTGCTTTCCAGCCGTCCACTCCTTTTCATGGCCGAGAAATCCTGTGTCGGTAGACAGGCCGCGTGCTGGTGGCCCGGTCGGCGGGTAGTGGACTTGGGGTCATCCCTGCCCAGGTGTCATGGGGACACGCTTCTCACCTGCTGTCACACTCGGCCCTCATTCAGTCAGTAAAGGCTGCTTCTGTCCTCTGGGGCCCAGCTTCCCCCGCAGGAGAGGCCGGAGACGCCCGCACCGGCCCCACCGCGTCCTGGGCTGCACCTGCCAGGCCCTCCAGTCTCTGCTGAGGAGCTGAGTCCATGGGGGGGTGAGGGTCCGGTGGCCCAGCACATCCTGTTGCTAGAATGTCCTTTCTCCCGTGAGTGCTCTGGGCCCCCTTGTTGAAATTTGTCCACAAATACTGGGCACGTAGCTTTTTGTCAAGTGTAAAGTGTTTCTTTAAGAAAAAAAGATGGGGGCAGACTGGTGAGGGCTGCCTCGAGCTCTCCTGTCCCTGTCCCCATGGGCCAGTAATCGGCTTGGGGCCCCAGGGACTGCAGGAGCAGGCAGTGGCCCCAGGGGGGGTGCTGGTTTTCAGCGTCGCGGAGGAGCAACGTGAGCAACGTGCGGCCCCTGGACCGGCCGGACCTTCCCGCTGCCCTTCCATGCTGAACGTGGGCTCCGGGAAGTGGGAAACGGTGGCCTATGGAGACTCTGCCTGCCGCTCGTCTCCACACCACCCCGTCCCCATGCTCCCCATGCTGTCAGTCCCCCTGCCACCTGTCCCTGTCCCGGGAAAGCTAGCATCCCAGCCACACCACCTAGGTGCTGGCCGGGCTGTCCCTGCCAAACCGGTTGGGGCACTTTCTCCCCTTGGTCCTTGGGAGGGCAGGTCATGAACGCAGGGTAAGAGGACTCCTTGCTCCAAACCAAAGCAGCTCCAAGAAGAGGACACGGCCCCCCCGCCCCCACACCAGGCTCAAATGGTGCCTTCGTAACCTGTCTGGGGCCTGAGCGAAGCAGCGGCCTTTCCCAGGCCCTACCCACCCGTTGTACTGCTGGGCTGTGGTTCTAGTCCTCTCAGTGGGGCTTCTGACGCAGAGTCGTATGCAAGTCCCAAACTGCCAGACTTGGGCCCGGCCCTGGGTGCTCTTTGGACGCACCCAGCCAGGCCCTGGTCTGCCTGCCCCGCCTGCCGCCCCCCACAAGCCCCACCCTTGGCCAGCAACCTGTCATCCCCCCACCCAAGACCACTCTCCCGGAAACCTTGTATTGCCTTCGGCAACCCCAGGTGCAAGGCTGCTTTGTGCCAAGCCCCTAGCCTGCCCAGACCCCAAGACCCTTAGCAAGGACACAGGAACCACACCCCACACCAGGTCCTTTGCTCAGAAATGGGACCTGGATCCAGATTATTGCCAGTTTTAGGAAACTCAGGGATGAGGGTGCTGAGTTCCATGACAGGCCGCAGGACCGAGGACAGGCAGAGAAGGGACGGGAGGGACACACGCAGGCCTGGACTGATTCCCAGGAAACCAGCTCTTTCAAAGTGTAACTGGAAATTTGAGGATAAAGACTGACGTTCCTGTTCCTACATGAGTAGGAAGACCGTTACTGGAGTAACGGTCGCATTTTTTGAGACTATTTCTAAGGACTTATTTGAGATGGATTCCCAAGCTGACGCTGTGCCGAGCCTGACATGGGGCTCGATCCCACAACCCTGAGATCATGGCCTGAGCCGAGACCAGAAGTCAATTAACCCACGGAGACAGGCAGGTGCCCCCGAAAGACCATTTTTAGATACAGGCACTGAAGTTTTTATCTATAAATGACTCCAAGTCCAGAATTTGCTTCCAAATAATGCGGGGGGCGCAGGGCCGGTGTGTGCTCCTGCCACAGCTGGGGGGACGCAGGGCGGGGGCCCTGCCACCCCAGTAGCTCTATGGAGATTCCCGCTGACACCGGACGCGCACCCACAGCGCTCCAGAACCAGGAGTCCGAGGTCCCATGTCCCAAGGTTCCGCCAAGGGTGGCATCCGCCCATCTGCAACTTTGGAAGGCCTCCAGGTGGCCCCTACACCCGCTCTGACCCCCCCCCCCAGTCTGTCCAAGGGTATGCCCAGCCTCTGGGGCTCCTCACACAGCCCACAGGGCAGCTGGCCAGACCCAACGGAGAGCAGGGGTGCCTCGTAGCACCCAGGTGCCTGCTGAGGCGGCCCGGGGGTTCTGTGGGAACTTGGATCCAACTGAACCCCCAGTGTGCATACCCTGCCTGTCCCCGTCCCCCCCAGTTCCTCCACCCACAGCCCTCCCCGATGTACGCGGTCAGGCTGGGGCCTCTTTCTCCCTCTGGGCCCTCTTTCTCCCTCTGGGCCCTCAGCCTTGCCCCCCAGAACCGGATAGCCTCTTTGGAGGGGGCAGAGTGGGTCTCACGGGCCAGAGCCCGCACACAGACACGGGGTGTGGAGAACTGCGCGGTCCTTTATTGACACCCTGCAGAGAACCCCTTGCGGGGTGTGGGGACAGGCTGCCTGGTGCCAGAACTCAGGCTGGGGGGGGCTCTGTGGGCAGCCGCCGGCCGCACAGAGTGGGCCCCTGCATGGGGAGCTGGGGGAGGCGCGGACAGCGTGTGGGGCGCTGCCCGCTCCCTGAAGGCGGCAGCAGGCTCCCGGCACTGAGAGGTTTCGGTGAAATTACTCGTTAAAGCAACCTGGTGCCCACGGGCCATGCGCCCACCCTCCCTCCTGGACTTGGTGGTTCTGCTCGGTGCCGTCTGCCCAGGGGCCCTGGTGCTGGGGGGCACAGCTGCCTTTGAGAATGTCAGAAGAGCTACGGTCCCTCTCCAGAAATAAAAGTGCCTGTGCGCACCCCGAGTCTGCTGAGCTGTGCCGGGGGTCGGCACCCTCTCCGCGGCCACCCATCCCTGGATGGAAGCTGCTGCTGAAGGCCTCAGACTGGAGAACAGCCCACCTCCAGGCTACTGGGGGAGGAGAGAACCGAACCCAGGGCCTGGACACCTCCCCTCTGGGTTATTACTGTGCCTGGGGGGGGGACATGGGGGTCCCCTGGAATGCCAGGGAGGGAGAGCCTGGGGTGGGCAGGCAGGAAGTGGAGGGGACGGAAGGTACTGGAAGGATCTCCGGCCCAGGTAGGCTGGGTGCGGCTGGAGCCCATGGGGGAAGGCCAGGGTGGGGGACCCGGGAGGACGGAGGCCTGGGCACACGGGCGGCGCTCAGCCCATCAACCCTCCTGGGTGCGGGGTCGCCCCTTCCCCCGCCCATCAGGAAAGCACTTTGATGCCGAAGTGCTTGCGGAGCTGCTCCAGGAACACAAACGTCAGCACCGTGTGCGGCATGAGGCGGATGCCGGCAGGCAGGAGGCCCTGGGGACCGGGAAGCAGGAAGTGAGGGGAGCCCCGCCCCGGAGCCCCGCCCCCGAGCCCCGCCCCCATCAACGGCCCACCTTGTAGAAGGCCAGCGGCCCCAGCTTGGCTGTCTCTACTGCGCAATGGAGAACACCCTGCAGAAAACACAGAATTAAGCAATAAAAAGAGCTGTTTTTCTCAAGGCATACATGACAGCCCCTCCCCCAGCACCGGCCAGGGGCCCTGCGCAGTGAGCGGCCGGGCCTCAAAGGTCATGACAGCAGGGAGGGCAGGCAGGCAAGGTCACTGGCCACCACCCTGCTGACACAGCAGAACCAGGCACAGGTGACCCTCTGGGCACCCACAGCGTGTGGCGGCCCCACACGGTGGGGGGGCATCTGGCAAGAGGCATAGGGCCCAGTAAGGACACTGATGAGGTCATGCAGGGGCCCCGGGGTCTGGCCGGCCCGCTTGATCGCGGCACCCCACCGACTTTCACTGACTTCAGTGAACCGGCTAGCTCTGTGACACAGCAAGGAATCAGATTTAAACACACAGGGGGCCACCCTCCCGGCTGTCAGTACAGCACGCAGCTCTTGATCTCAGGGCCGTGAGTTCAAGCCCCACACTGGACGCGCAGCCTATTTAAAAAACTAAAATCTTTAAAAACACACAGGGCCAAGGGCTGCTGCACGACTGGCTGGAACAGCAGCGGGACAGAGAGCCTCAGCCACGTGCCAGGATGGGGACGCGGGTGCACCCAGCCACGGAGGCCGAGGGTGGCAGTGTGGGGACCCCTCCTGGGTCCCCCGTCCCTGCCCCCACCCCCGTCCCCACACCTGTACTGTCGAGGGGGATGGTGCCTGCAGCCGCCACTCACCTGATACTCGCCCTTGGCATTCATGAGACGCGTCTTCAGGACGTCCAGGGGCTGGCACAGGATCGTGGCACACCCACCCTACGGGGGGAGCTTAGCACCAATGGGCCTGCTGGGTGGAGTGTGCCGGCACCCCTCGTCCTCCCCTCAGAAGCCCCTGGCCCGGACCCCCGGAGGTACCCTCAGAGCTGCGGGACCCCAGGACACTGGGAGTCACTCGGAGCCATCTCGGCTGGGGCTCTGGAGCCTGGGCGCCCACCGACATATGCGGCCCGAGAGGGACCTCTGCCACACCTGCCCATAGCCTCCTGCCTTCCGAGCCCCGGCCTCGTCCCAGGCACCCTCAGCATCCGAGGCTGGTCGGCCCCAGGCCCCCGACGGCCAGGCCCAGCACTCACCGCGATGAAGCTGGCGACAAGGTGAGTGAGGACACCGTCAGGCAGGTGCCCGGTGCTGAGCACCAGCTGCTTGGCCTGGTCGTAGCAGGACAGCTGCAGGGGGAGCGGCGAGCAGGGTCTGTGGGGCGGCTCCCAGCTCCAGGGAGAGCAGACAGGGGCCCACAGGGACGTCACCGGGACTGACCAGGTGCCTGCTCCGCAGCACGTCTCCATGGTCACTGTGACCAGGCAGATGGGGGAGGCCGGACCGGGAGGGGCCTACCCACCTCCCCAGCCCCCGTGTGTGGTCCGAGCCCACGGCCTTCCTCCACCACCTCTCCAGGGGCTGAGGGCGGGTCCCCCGGATGCCGCCCCGAGAGCCCCCCCACCAGCAGGAGCCCCACCTGGCCCACGGTGACTAGCATCCCTCGACTGGATGCCATGCTGGCGCCCGAGAACAGCTTCTTCAGACCCTCTGCCGGAGAATGGAGGTCAGGCGCCCAGCCCAGTGCCCCCCGGCCTCCCCCAGGTCCTGCACGACACTCCCAGGCCCTTCTGCCTCCTTGGACCCCCCCACACCCAGGGCCTGCTCCTCTTACCTTCCCGGGCCACGCGGTACAAGCCGTCCACAGCGTGGGCGTAGCTGCCAGGGACAGACCAGGGGCCCGTATGAAGCTTTCCCTGCCCACTGGCCCCCACGGGGGCAGGGGACGACCGTGCCTGAAAACCCCCTGAGGCTGGGCCTGGCTTTGGCTGTTCTTTAGGGTGAGAGGGTGGGGGGGCCAGCCTGGAGCCCCATTTTGCCCCTGGACTGAAGCCCATGCCTACTCTAGCTGGGGTCAGTCCGTAACAGCCTTGGAATCAACAGGATCTCAGACTTTATGAAAAATGATATTTTTACCGTTAAAAAACAAAAAACAAAAAACCCCAGCTCCCAACCTTTTTAAAGGCCCAAAGTCACTTAAATTTGTCAACGGTCCCTCCTGTGAACAAGTACAAGATGCCAGAAAGGCAGGGACGTAGCCTCCATCCCAGCCCCCCGGAAAGGAACCAGAAGCCCTCCTGACTCAGGGCGGATGTGCGCGGGGTCAGCCGTCTCTGCCGCTCCCGGGGACGCCACGCGCAGCAGGGCCTGCTGGGACCCCCAGCTGGGGCCCAGCAGAGCTGCTCAGGTCTCCCTGCCCCGTGCCCCGGCAGCCCCCACAAACCAGAGTAGAGCCCGGCCCGGCCACTCACTTGCGGCGCTGACTCGGGGGCAGCTTCATGTCGTTCTGCATCCTGAAACCACCACACCGGCTCAGGGGCGGCAGGCGCCAGGCACGCCCCTCACGCAGGCCAGCGCGCTGTGGGGCTCGCCCCGCCCCCTCCTCCCACCCCTGGGTCCAGGACCCCAAGGTCCAAGCGCTTGTTCCAAGCTGAACCCACCGCGGACACCAGAGAGTAAGCCCCCCGCCCCGCCAGGAGTCAGGAAAGACCCTGACCTTGGCAGGGGCGGGGCACACACTGACCTGACGTTGACCATATCCGCGGGCGTCCCCACGAAGCCGCCAATGCAACCTGGGACGACAGAGCCCAGAGCCAACATGGGACGTTGGGCGATGCCCACGTGCGCCCCCAGCCCCCGGCCCGGCTGGCAGCTCACCACTGATGGCGCCCAGCAACACCTTCTTGTAGAAGGGCAGGGGCCCCTCGCTGCCCTTGCTCACGTGGTCCCGCACGGTCTCATAGATGGCGAACCGAGTCAGGGAGTAGGTCATCTGGGGGAATAGGGTGCTCAGAGGGTACAGGAGGCGCAGCCCGTCCACCCCCCGCCCCCGTCATTGGCCACGGGGCAGGGAAGGACCCTCCCAAGGCCCCACGGTCAGCAAGTGACTGGGCCGGCTGCATCAGGGTTTCCCTCCCCGGGCTCGGTCTCCCCATCTCTCAGGGGAGGTGGTGAGCCAGCTCTGAGAGCGGGGCGCCCTGCCCACCCAGCGTCCCGGGAGGGGAGCCCGAGGCACCTGCCGGCACAGGGAGGCGCTGAGGCCGTTGTAGAGCGCCAGCACGCCGTCGGAGCGCACCACCTGCAGCGCCATGCCCGTCATGCGCAGCTTCACCTGCTGCTGCGTCTGCAGGTGCACCTGCGGGGACAGCTGCTCACCGCCGGCCGCTCCGCGCCCAGCCCTCTCCCGCCGCCCACCGCTCTTACAGCCACACAAAGACGCAGTTTAGAGACGGGAAACCGAGGCACAGAGAGACACAGAGGTCTCCTGCGGGCGCCCAGCTGGGACTCCACGCCCCCACCGGGCACCAACCTCCATTCCACCCTATTCTGCCTTATGAGTGACAACACTGGGGAGCCCGCCGGGCCTGCGAAAAACAGTCCGCACACGCGTCTGGGTCCTCACGGTGCACGGCAGGAGCGGGGTCCTCACTCCCATGCTGACAAGGACACTGAGGCAGGATGCAGACACCGGCTAGGGGACTCCAGAGCCCCATGTCTTTTTCTTTTCAAAATTTATTTATTTATTTATTTATTTGACAGACAGAGACCACAAGCTGGCAGAGAGGCAGGCGGGGGTGGGGGGGAAGCAGGCTCCCTGCTGGGCAGAGAGCCCAATGCGGGGCTCCATCCTAGGACCCTGAGATCATGACCCGAGCTAAAGGCAGAGGTTTAACCCACTGAGCCACCCAGGCGCCCCTCCAGAGCCCCATTTCTTAGCCATGCCACTTCTCAAGAGGGATCAAAAATTATGGGGACGGGGTGCCTGGGGGGCTCAGCTGTTAAGCGGCTGCCTTTGGCTCAGGTCATGATCCCGAGGTCCTGGGATCGAGCCCTTCGTTGGGCTCCCGGCTGGGTGGGGAGCCGGGTTCTCCCTCTCCCACTCCCCCTGCTTGTGTTCCCTCTCTCACAGTCTCTCTGTCAAATAAATAAATATAATCGTAAAAAAAAAAGGGGGGACTCAGAGACAGGCTGAAGAAACATGATGGGCTTGGAAGAGATGCTGGGAGTCCAGTGGGGGAGACAGGAAGGGACGCTCCTGGGAGGGCCAGGGCACGGCCACCCCGGAGTCTGTCCTCGTACGCCCCACTCTGTCCGGCCCCAGTCATGTTCTGGCTGGGCCTGCTCGGGGAGGTTATGGACCCTCCTGCCTCAGTTTCCCTCAGTGTGCTATGAGGATTAAGTAGCTGGTGGGTGTACCTTTCCCTTCCTTCTTCCCTTCCCTTCCCAGGGCCTTGGGTGTGGGCCCCATTTTACCCCTGGACTGGAGCCAATGCCTGCTCTAGCTGGGGTGTCTAGCTGGTGGAGCAGCGAAAATGGGGAGGGATGGAGAGTGCTTTGTGCTCCGCTCAGCCGCATCGGCTAGTTGGACAGGACAGAGGGCACTGGGCCTGGGGGCAAGGCGTCCACTCGGAAAGCAGCCCTTGTCCAGGCGAGAAGCAGCTGTGAGACTAAGCCAGGGCATGGGGCAAAGGGAGAGTTCAAAGAGCTGTAAAGTCATTTCTCCAGTGGCCTCCAAGGCTGCCACACTGCCTGCTGCCCGCCCCCCTCCCCCGCAGAGGGCTGCATCCTCCCCCGGCCAGCAGCACTCAGAGTCCTGTGGCTGCCTACCTCCCTTGACCTCCCTCCTGGCCGCATTCTGCAGCAAAACAGCACCAGGGGGGCAGGGCACGGGGCAACGAAGCCCCAAGGAGCCTCGGACAGTGGACAGGGCCCTTGGAAGCTGCGTCCCCCACAGTCAGACACAGAGCCGAACCGTGGGGCGGCGCAGGCCTGCGTGGGCAACGGGAAAGCAAAGCAAAACAGACACGAGGAGGTTTCTCCTTTCTCAAACCAAAAGCAGCTTTCTGTTCACTGTCACCTCCTCTCTCAGTGGTCACTGCATCCCCCGGGGCCTCTCAGGCCTCTCGCAGGACAAGCCAGGTGTCAGGTGCGCCAGTGGGGCCACCACCTCCAGCCCCCATGTCGGCTAGTCCTGCCCTGACTGGTGGTTTGGTTTGCGTTTTCACTGGGGAAGTCCATCCCCTCCATTTAGAACAAAGGCTGCTGGAAGAAACAGGTCCTCAGGTGGAGGAGGGCCTCGGCGGGGGCCTGGCAGGAGGCTGAGGTCTGGGTGAACAGGGCCACAGGCGCCAGTCCCTCCCAGGGAGTGAGTATGGGGGTCAGGCTGCTGTGCAGGGGGTGGGGAGGGAATGAGGTGGCCGGGGAGCTGCCCCCTGGCCCCAGGTTCCCCAGGGCAGGGCCTCCTGGGCAGACCAGGCTTTGCATCATTGGCCCTTTCTTCTTTGTTCTTTGTAGTGAAAAAGGGACAGAAAACAAACCCCCCCTGGCTGGCCCTGGGAGACAAGAGCAGCTCTGTCTCATACTGCCCCACAAGCACTTTTCCTAAAAAATGTAAAATGAGTGTGAATGCTTCCTGCCGGCCCGAGAGCAGGACCTGCGTGGGCGCAGAGTCTGCGGCTTCCAGGTGCCCTCCCAGCTCAGGAGGAAGCAGCCCGAGGCAGGGACCTGCAGGGACGGGTCCCATTCCCTCATTGTGCGCTGGGTACCCACCGGGCGAGGAGGCCACCTGGCCCATGCGCAGGGTGTGCTAGAGCCACCAAGCGCGCACCCCACAGAACCACCCCCTCCACTCCAAACCCGGGGGACTCCTGTCCTTGGAGCTGCGGGATGGAAAGGGACTCAGAAAGGCCAAGTGGACAGCCCAAGGTCACACAGGTGGTATGGGGCACGACCGACGCTGGACGCGACCCGCGGTCCCTGACAAGGGGCACCTCCGCCGCGGAGTGGGCAGGGTCTCCGGCGGGGGCAGAGAACCGCAAGGCGGCCCCAGGTCTCAGGCCCTCCCGGGCCGGTGCGGGGCGAGACGGGTCAGTGCCCAGGGGCGGGCGGCCCCCCGCGCCTCCCCGCCGCCCCCTGCCGCCCCTCCAGCCCGCCCCCCGCCCCCGCGCGGCCCGCGCCGGCCTCACCTTGAGCAGGTCTAACGGGTGCGTGCAGCAGGCGGCCCCGCAGGAGGCCAGTCCCCCGAAGTACCAGCGCGACACGCGCGCCTCCGCCGCCATGGCCCGCGCCGCGGACGCCCGGGAGCGCCGGCGGCCCGCTCGCGGCTACTGCTGCCCGCAGCCCGGTCCCGGCCTGCGCGCGGCCGCGACCGGACCCCGACTCCCGCCCCGGACCCCGGCCCGCACCGCCGCCCGCGCCGAGTTCAAAGCGCCACCGGCCACCCGCGCCCCGCGCAGCCAATGCGCCCGCGCGGCCCTGGGGGCGGGGCCGGCGAGACCCCACCTCGAGCCGGGGGCGGGGCGGCCCGCGCGCGTCTTAAAGCGGCCGCGTCCCGGCAGCCGAGTCGCCTGGGAACAGCGGAGCCGCCTGCGGCTGTGCCCGAGGGGGTGGGCGTGGCCGGGCCCCCCACCCCTGCACCAGCTCCTGGGAGCCTGCTGGGTGGGCCTGCTCCACTGCCCCCGGGAACCCGGCGTCCCCCCCCCGCCTCCGCCCCTGCGGGGTCACCCCCACGCCTAGGGCAGGTCTCTGAAGGTCAACGCGGAGGAGCGGCCTCGGCGCCGGGCCAGTCCCTGACACACCCGAAGGCCGGCCGCCTGCCCGCCCCAGCCGCGGCCCTGACCTTGCACCCAGCGTCCCAGCCCCACCACGCATGCCCTAGGGGTCAGCCCCGGGACACGTGCATGCGCAGGGGGGTGGCAGAAAACCTTCCCGGAGCCAGTCTGCGGATTACAGGGAAACTAGGGGCAAAGGACAGTTCGGGAACACTAGCCGACCTCCGGTGCTCCCTGCCAAGTGCAGCCTCAGGTGTGCTCTGACCAGACAGCCCCAGGCAGCCGTCCTGGAGGGGGACGAGGAGACGGGAAGTTCTGAGCCATGGCGGGTGCCGGCTTCTGGGAGGTGGCATTAGGAGTCGGCGTGCCCCCAGGTCCCCACTCTCATTCCACCAGCCAGCAAATAAGAGGCGCGAATGTGCTCTGGGCCAAAGACGCACCTGCTGGGCAAGGTGGGAATCTGCACCCCGGGGTCCCCTTCCAGCCGGGCACAAGGACCCAGAGACCACCAAGCCGGAGACCCCTCCCACAGGAAGGTGCGGGTCAGGGCAGGGGTGGGCACAGTAGGGGAGGGTCACAGCAATTTCCCGGAAGCCAGAGAGGAGGCACCTGGCTGGCTCCGTTCCAAGAGCATGTGACTTTTGTTCTTGGGGTTCTGAGTTCAAGCCCCACATTGGACATAGAACTTACTTAAAAACAAAATTCAATCGTATTTCTACATATCAGCAATAAACAAACTGAAATTACTTTAGGAAAAGCAATTCCATCAAAAAAAACACCCCAAAAACAAAAACAGAAGGTGCGAGACACACACCGAAAGCTATGCAACAAAAAGTGAGCAATGCGTCATCCACGAGGCGGCTTCCACACCTTCGGCTTTTGTTCTTAGACACAGGTCACACGCCAGATCAGTGGACTGCAGGGAGTGGCCTGAACACTGAAAACGTCAGGAACAGCAGCCCAGCACGTGGCAACCTGGAACTCCCTCGAGGCCTGGCAAGGTTTGGGGAGAGCAGTCCAGGGGTGGAGGAATGCTGGGAAATGGAAAATGCACCAAATATGGGGAATCTTTTTAAGAAAAAGGGGGCACTTTGCAAGCTGTACGTCAGCGAAGTCAAGGGTCCCCAGATGAATTCTCAAATGGATTCTAATGACTTGTTCATGAACCCAAAGTCTTAGATGGGCAGGTCAGGTGAGGTCTTGAAAACAAGGCTGCCTGGCCAGGCCTCTCAGGTGGGGGCCGTCTGCACTGCTGCACTCCCTCCTCCTCAGGCTGCTTAGGGAGGACCGATGGGGCCACGTGGGGGGCCAGGCAGACACCAGAGTCCCTGGAATGGGCAAGAGCTCCAGATCTCCTTCTTCTGTTTCACTAACCTGGCACTTCCACCAGGATCTGACAGGACCGGTAAGGTTTTGTGTGGGTGCTGTCACTGCGACTCAGGACGCACAGCAGACCCACCCCTCTGCTGAGCCCAGGGGCCAAGGTCACGTGACCTCCCAGGGATTCAGGGCGCACCCCATCTATTGCCAGGTCAGAGACACAACTTTATGGGCCAACTGCAGACCAGAGCAGGAGGGATGGGGTAGGACCAGAGGTCAGGCAGACCGCCCCAGGCGAAGAACACATGAGCACCGCCTGAGCCCAGTGTCAAGCAGGCAGAATGGGGCTGGCCTGAGAGCCTCACGGCCCTGGGGTTCAGCATCACCTGCTCTTCCAAGCAGCCATCCCCAGTCCAGCCAGCATGGAGCAGGAGGAGGGACTCCCCATCACCTCAACTCCCCTGCAAAAGCACGGGGGCTCCGAGAACACGCAGACTGCATGCAACCTGCCAAGGCCGGCTGAGGACTGAGTTCAGACCACTCCCTTCCCCCAGAAGATGCAGCTGGGTCGGCAGGGTGCAGGGCCAGCCATACCCGCTCCTAGGGGCCTAGTAGGCACCGGTTGAGGGATGGGCCCACCAGATCTGCTGATGGTGAATCGTTAACTCTCCAGGCCGGCTGGGGCCACGGACTGGGCCAGTGGAGTTCTCGGGGTCAGGGAGCAGCCTTCTTATAGAGCTCAGCAGGAAGCATGTTCTCTGTGTGCTGGGGTGCTGGGCACATGTCCCCTAGAAGCACAGCAGCTCCCCACACCTGTCCTGAGGGGTTCTCTCCCAACGCGATGTCCCCTTCCAGTCCCACAGCCCTGTCCTTGCAGATCATTCTTCCAGCGTGGCCAGGAAGGGGATACAGGGGTCTGCCATTCTTGGTCTGCTAAAGACCACCACAGGTGCCCCATGCCCACTTCCTGGGGGATGATCTGCTATCAGCCACATGCCGGCTGCCACCCCCTAGGCAGGACGGGCATTGTCCACACCCCACGGTGTGCTCCTGCCAGCCCTGGGAGGTCAGGCCCCTGCACACAAAGGACCCAAAGACCGCCGGTGACCCCCACACGTCCTGCTGGGCAACGAGGGGGCCACCTTAGCCGGCTCAGCGTGGCCCACCCAGACACATCACTCTGCACACACCGCGCCCAAACAATGTATTTTTCTCAGTGGCCACCAGGGGGTGTGCATTGACCGCGGTATGTTCTAGAGTCCATCTCCCTGGTGCTCGCTCACACAGGAGCTGCGCCTCCAGGCTCGGCAGGTCCATCCGCCTGACGGAGTTGGCCCATGGGCACCAGCGCCGTCGTTCTGTCCGGAGGCCGCTCCCAGCAGCGGGGCCCAGATGCTGGGGCCTCACCCAGGTCCCAGGCACCCCTGTCCACCAGTCCTCAGAGCTGGCCTACTCCAGAACCACGGTGCCGCCCACCGCCTCCAGGGCCGCCTTCATCTTCTCCGCCTCTGCCTTGGAGACATTGGCTTTGATTTCCTGGGGCAGGGACTCCACCAGCTTCTTTGCCTGCCACAGAGCAAAGTCAGAAATGGGGCCTGGGGGACTGCAACTGACCTGCCCCAGGAGCCAGTCCCGGTGCCAGTCGCACGTTAGGGACAGCTGGGGGGGCCTGTGCAGCACGCGGGGCTCACCTGAACGAGGTTTATGCCCTGGATGTAGTTCTTGATCTCCTTGATCAGCTTCACTTTGTCCACAGGCTTTGCCTCTGTCAGGCGGACGGTGAAATGTGTCTGTTCTTTCCGTGTGGGGACGTCGTCTTCTGCCACCTCGGGGAAGGAGCGAGCGAGCACTGGGTAAAGCAGGCACATCTGCTCCTGGGAGGCCCTGTCCTGTAACCCCAGGCCCCAAAGCCAGGCCAGCAAGGCCTGCCGTTCCCACAGGAGGCGAACCACCCAGAGCCTTCCCTCCCTCACCCCCCCCAGCTGAGACCCGGCTCCCTCGCTGGGAAGGCTGCTGTCTCCCAGAGGCTGCTCTGACTCTGCCTCCCCCCTGCCACCGGCTCAAGTTCCCTCATCCCGCCAAAGCTGGAATGTGGGGGACAGGCAGGGGGCGACCAACAGCTCTTATCCAGCAGCGTGTCAGGGAAACAGCAGTGTTCCCGTCCTCAGCCAAACCCCAATCACTTGTGGGTGAAAAAGTGACAGGCAGCTGCACTCCACCTTCACCAAGAGACCCGCAAGGGGAGGATGGGAGGAGCCCCTGCTGTCACAGGCGCAGTGGCAGCACCGCCACGGAGCAGGGGCCGCATGGCCTGGCAGCCTGGGGCAGTCCTGGTTTGGATTTGCCCCCCGGTTGTTAACAGTGTCCTTTCATTCTCAGAAGCGTCCCAGTTCAGACAAGAAATTCCACAGTAATTCTGTCTCTCCTTTTGCCCCAAATACTCGGCCTGAATCCTGTCAGCCTGTAAAGCCACCAGTTCACAGCAGGTGGGGGGCCGGGGCTGATGCCACTGGAACCCTCAGACACATCTGGGACGTGGGACCCTCTACAGGACCCCTGACCTAGGGGATGGCCACGGAAAGCAGACGGAGGACAGGAGCCAGACTTCACAGACCCAGGGACCAGATGCGACCCACAGACCGTACTTAGACTGGGGCAGACCAACTGCTACGGAGTCTGGGACCATCAGCTGATCTGGATATCTGAGCTAGAAAATCACCGTTAATGACGTTTGTTGCACACACGGCTCGTGGCTTTATTAAGAAAACACCTCGGTTTTAGAGACATGGGCTGGAGCACACAGAGAAAGGACAGACCAGACATGTGCCTTAAGCACCAAGGGAAAAGCTAAGTAAATATGGCGAAACCTTATTGTTATTGGGGCTGGATGATAAGTATACGGGTTGTTTTTTGTACCTGTTGATAACTTTGGAATTCCCCCCCCCCCAAACTGCAACATCCCCCCAATGAAACAAAAACCACAACAAAAGTGTGTGACTTCAGGTCTGCTGGTTTCTTCGTGGAGAACCAAACCTGCCCACCGCCCACCCCCCCAATCTCTGGTTCAGCCATGACCGTGCCCCACGGCTCTCGTGGACGCTGGCCCTCTGCCGGGAACTCTGCTCTCCTCCCATATGCCTCAAATCTCCCCCACGGGGTCACCTCCTTCTTGTAGCCTTCCGTGAAGCTGTAACCTTCCCCTTGATCTTCCCTACCTTTTCCCCTGCACTTATGATGTTCTGCCGTGCAACCAAATTTTTCTTTTTCCTCTTGTTTCATTCAACAAGAAGCACGGTCTCTGTGTGGCGGGGACCTGCATGTCCTTGGCAGGGAAGGGGTCCCAAGCATGCTGCAGGGGGCCCACAGGGAGAACACACAACTTTGTGGGATGTGTCGGCTGATGCAGGCCCAAGATGAGGGACAATGGGAGAAATGTGGCCACGTGACGTGGTGGCACCCTTTTGTGGGGGCCCCTGGCCTGTGCTCACCTCGGGGGTTGCTGCTGCAGCAGGGGCAGCTCCAGGCACCGTGCCGCCCATCGGCATGAGTCCGACATCCTGGATCTTTAGCGTTTTCTGCAGGGAGAAGGGAGAGCAATCCCAGCAGCTGCCCGCCACGCTCAAACACACCCACACCACAAGCCCGGCGCAGCCCTCGCACTTGGGGAGCACGCTTCGGACAGTCTGATGCTCCCCACACAGAGCGGAAACAGGTTAGGGGCCTGGGGCACGATACCTTCAGAAGCTCGTTGAGATCTGAGATCTCCAGGAGCGTCAGGCTGGCGATGTCCCGGACCAGCTGCTGGATCTTGGGGGGGTACTCCTTGGGCGCGTCATCCAGGGGGGCACCAGCGAGGGCCTCCCCCCTCCGACGGCTGCTGCATCTCATCAGCCGCACAGTGCAGACGCGCGGCACCTGTTGCCTAGCCCCCCACCAACACGGCCGTCAGCCGGTGGCCCGGACGGCGGGGGGCGCAGCAGCTCAGGTCTGGCTCCTTGGTCCCAGCCCAGGGTTCTCGGATGCGGGGTCCAGTCGGACCAGGGGGCTCCCGGCCTCCTTAAGTTCTTCCCCGAGTCTCAGAAACCCACGCACGGACTTGCAGGTGCGTTAGTTTCCGGGTGGACGCGCTACCGGCCCGTGGGAGCAGGACGGGGACCTGAAGGCGTCCGGTCACAGGAAGGCCGCTTCGACGCTGGGGCCCTCGGGCGGCTCGACGCCTACCCGCCGACGGAAGCCCTACCACGGCCTTGGGGCTGCGCGGGAAACCGAGGCCCGTGGAGGGGCAGGGACCAGCGCACGGTCATCTGGAGCCACCCAGAGCACATTCAGCCGCCCGCGAAGGTAGGGAGTGGGCGGAGGGGGGCCCTCGCGACCCCGCACCGCCGCCGGGACCCGCGAGTCGGGGCGGCCTCCCGCCCGCCGTCGCCCCCAACCTGCACCCTCAGTTACCGGCCGAGGCCCCCGACCTTGCCACCCCGCCAGCCTTCGGAGATACCTGGCGAGACGGAGCGCAGCGCCCTGAAGCCTGAGACACGGCCCCCAAATGGGGCGAGCGGCTGCGGGCAGCATCGGTCCGCGGGCGGGAAGGTCACACGCGGCTCCGGGGGAGGAGGACGCTCTAGCCGCCGGGGCGCGGAGCATTCGAGGTGAGTGCGGACGCTCTAGCCGCCGGGGCCGCCGAGCATTCGAGCTGCGTGAGGACGCTCTTGCCCACGAGGCCGCCGGGGAAACGGAAAAAAAAGCTAGAGAGGACGCTCTAGCCGCACCTCGTGCCGGCTTCCGCTCGCTCTCTGTGGTTACCCGCAGGGGACGAGCCGCGCAGGTGCGAAGGCTCGTTGGTGGCGGCTGGGATTTGGGGTCGGGGTCCTGGGGCGTGACGCTGAGTAGCTGGGGCCCTCTCCTCGCAAGGTGGACGAAGGCCGAGAAGGCCGAGGCTCGGGGAGGCGGTCCGGGCCCCGGAGCAGTCCGGCCAGGGAGGACAGTGCAGTGACCCCTACTCCCCGACACCCGCCGGACCCTCGCGCCGGCCGACCCCGGGTTTCGGCTCCGCTGCGGGGCAGACGTGAGGGTCCCAAGTGCCCTTTCTCGGCAGGCCCCGAGGTGGGGGCCACGCCCGCCCTGGCCGCCCGCAGCCGGGGTCACCTAGCGCCGGGAGCTCCGCTGCCCTCTGGGCAGCCCTCGGCGTCCTCCTCCCCCTAGAGGGCGGCCCTTGGCGCCAGCGCCGGAGCACGTTTTCTCGGGTCACGCCGCCCCAGAGCCACCGAGCGAGGCCGCGTCCTGGGCCCGCGTGTCTGGGCGGTTGAACTCGGGGTTCTCTGCTGACAGCGACCCTAAGGGTTGTGATGGAGCCTGGAGGGGCCGGGGGTTGGGGTCGTGGGCGAGAGGGCATGCGGTTCACCTGGGAGAAGGGAACGCGTACGCCCTGACTGCGCATCCAGCCGCCCCAAGTCCCGCCGTCCTTCCCTTGCGGCTCCCAAACACTCCCCACGGGTGGGGCGGGGGGGCCTTCAGCCCAGCCCCTCGCCTGCCCTGCTGGTCAGTCTCCTCTCCCAGCCGCTGTTCGGCCGGCCAGCCAGCCGGCGCGGAGCAGCACTTACCAAATCAGGAAGGCGGAGCTCTCCCGGCCCTGCCTCTGGTCCGAGCTCCGAAGGACTTAGGGAAGAGCAAATGCTGGGTCACCTAAGAGGTGTGGGACACGGTCCGAACTCTGGGTACCAGAGGCTGGGCCTACAGTATCTTAAGGCTTTTTCTTTAAGAGTTTATTTATTTGACAGACCACAAGTAGGCAAAGAGGCAGTTGCTAGGGGGTAAGCAGGCTCCCCGCTGAGCAGAGAGCCCCATGCGGGGCTCCATCCCAGGACCCGGAGATCACCACCTGAGCCGAAGGCAGAGGCTTTAACCCACTGAGCCCCCCAGGCGCCCCTATCTTAAGGCATTTTCTTCCAGGCTACAGTTCTGGTGTGTGAGTCACACTCCATCCTTGGGCTCTGCAAGTCTTCAAGGAGTCAGGGCAGAGGAGTCATGGGGAGGACTGCTGCTTCGCTCCCCAAGGGCACAGCTGGGGGGGGGCTGTCTCAGGGAGGGAGCAGGTCTGCAGCTGCTGCCAGAGCAGTGCCCACCCTTGAAGACTGCCCTGGGAGCCAGGCCTGGCTGGAGCCAGGCCAGCCCCAGACATCTACTTGCCCCTGTAGAGCTGGACCAGCCGCCCGCCACCCTCCTCCTGAACAGACACTCTGATACTTGTTGAAAGACATTTTATTATCAGTGTTCCATTCCGTCTACTCGGGGCACTGGATGAGATGGCAGCTCAGAAGCAGAGAAGCTGGAGACAGCCCCCACCCTCCCATGAGGGCCAAGGAGTGCCCGCGGACCGCAGGGAGCCACGCTGGAGGGCTCTGGGGAGCACACACGCTAGTCGGACCACAGGCTGTGGCGTCCCGGGTGCAGATGGGAGGCCCGGGCTGCACAGGGAGAGGAACCCCACTCTGGCCGGCCCTCACGGGGCCTGCCTGATGCACTGGGCTGAAGGATCCCTCTCGGAGAAGGTCCTTCCCTCCCACACTCTGAGGCCCAGCCCTGGGGAAAGAAACCCAAGACCAACTTGGGGAGATGGGGAAGAGGATGGGGCCTGGGGGCATAAGGAGTCAGCGGGAGGGGACAGAGGGCAGGGGTGCAGGGCCGCCCCCACATCAGCAGGGTCACGGCATGGCGGAAAGAGGAAAGCGAGGCAAGAGGACGACGCTAGTTAGAGACGGAGGCATTGGTTCAGAGAACGTAGTGTTGTTCTGGACGGCGCGCTCCCAGCTGCGGTCAGTCGAACGAGATGAGCTGGGCTTCACTGCCCTGTGCCGGAGGGCCCTGTGTGGGTGGCGGCTGGGCCACTGGGGGAGGCTGTTGGGGCGGTCCCCCGGAAGGTGCCATCTGGGGGGAGGGCACAGGAACCATTCATCCTCCCTCCCCAGACCCCGGCCTTCCTCCCCGCCACTGGCCCCCAGTCTAGCATCTTTTCTCTAAAACGTTCCACCCTCATCTCAGCCCGGGTGCTCGGTCCCAGCAAAGCCCAGTCTGTGCCAGGCCTGCCTCCTCCCAGCTTGTCGTGGGTTCCCTGTTGTCGTCCTGCTCTTGCAGAGACCCCGGGGGTTCCCGACCAGTGTCCACAGGGTTGAGTACGTGCATGGACATTGCGTTGCTGTGTGTGCTCATGTGGGCTGTGTGTCTGTCCTCACTCTGCTGGGCAGCAGTCCGCACCATCTCCTCCTCCTGGGACAGCCCTGCCATCTTCCGCAAGGCAGGCTGGGGGCAGCCTGGGGAGGGGCTCACCTGCTGGTACAGGGGCTGCTGCCCCGCAATGTAGGGCTGCTGCGGGGGCGGCAGAGGCGCGTCCTGGCTGGGGAGGGTGTTCATGAGACTCTGGAAATGAAGCGAACCCCACGTGAAGGCGGCCTGTAGGCCAGTAAAGGTGTTTCTGACTTGAAAACCAAACGCCCACCAGCTAGGAGCCTAAAGGCGGGGAAGGGAGTGGTGGGCAGGAGGGCAGGGCCTGCCCAGCGCTCCCCAGCCCCTTTTCCATGTGGACGCCCCCCACGGGCTCTCACCTGCATGCCATAAGGCTGGTAACCGATAGACACCGACTGACTCCCCATGTAGCCCAGGGCGCCAGATTGCGGAGGCTGGGACATGGCTGGGAGGCTCTGGGGGGCCTGGGAGGCCACGTTCTGTGGAGGGAAGAGTGTGATGGGAGAAGGACCGCGGGCCCTCGCCAGGAAGGGGAGCAGCCCTGCCCGCCTACCTGATAACCCTGTGTCGGCGTGGGCTGGTAGGACGAGTAGGCTGGGCTGGCGGTGGGCCCGGTGGGGCCCTGGGGGGCCGCCTGTGCACTGGTGGCCCCTGCTGGGTACATGTAGGCGCCCACCATGCCGGGATCTGTGGAGGGAGAGGAGTGAGCTCAGTTCCCTGCAGGGACTTCTGGAACCAAGTTCACGTTTCACATTGTCACAGAAGGAAACAAAATCAGCAAGAACAGGAAAGGAGCTCTGGTGCTGAACGTAGTCAGAAGAAACGAACCCAACAGTAGGGGTGGGGTGTAACGGCGGCCTGGGAAGGGTGGGGAAATGAACTCTTCCACTAAGACGACAGACGTAGTGAGCCTGGTCAGGTGGGCCTCTGCCCAGGGGCTCAGGCTGGCGCTGCGGAAACCACGTTCCGTGCAGCCAGGAATGAACGGCGTGAGGAGCCGGGGGAGCCCCACGCCGCATCTGTAAACCCAGGTCTGCCGAGAGGGCCTGGCGCGCTAAGCACACCCCTTGCCAGGGCCGGGGCTGCCTCCAGGGCTGAGCAGCAACAATGTGAACACGGAACGTGGGGAGACAGCCCAGGAGCCGCACCCGCGACTGTCTGAGCGACGAGACCGGTTGTGAACTTTGGATAAGACGGAGCCACGTGGATGGGAGTGACCAAGACAAAAGAGAAGTGCCTCCTCACGGTGGAAAGACAACTGACCAGCAGGAGGGGACCGAGATGAGAAGATCACTGGCTGACAAACGTTACAACAGCCTTAGACACGACGGAGACACTAAAACTAGTAGGCACAACTTCGGAGGAACGAGGATGCAAGCCCCATCTCCCCTGAGCTGCTAATTGCCATGGGACGGCCGGGCCCCGGCAGGGAGGAGCCCAGACAGGCTGCCCGCACACCTCACAGCTAGCGCCGGCTGCACCTTCCTGCTCAGCACTCCAGAGCCCGGAACGCCAGCGAAACCCTGGCCACGAGACCAGACACAATCCACCGCGGGGTGGTCTGCAAGACAGCAGACCAGTGCTCTTTGAGAAGTCAGTGTCATGAACACAGAGGCAGAATGAGAACATTCTAGATCAGAGATGAAAAGCAGCCAAACCGTTAAAGGCAACAGCCATGGGGTTTCCTATCAGCACAAGGGGTGTTCCCCGGACGGTGTGGGAGAGCCGAACCCGACCCTGGATGAGGTCGCACCACCGCCTCCGCGGCTCTCGACCTGGCCTCTGTGCCCAGGCCACAACGGAGCGTCCCGCGTTTAGGAAATGCACGCTGACAGTGCTGGGAGCGAAGGGCATCGAGCCCGCCACCCAGTCTAAAAAGGTTCAGGAGAAAAGTCCACGTGTGCCTATACACGCGTGCATGTAGGAAGACACACAACGTAACACAACGTTAAGGTCTGGGAAATCTAGGAAACCCTTGTACCATTTAACTCTCCTGGAAAACTGAAACCAGAGCAAATCAAGAACAAAGGGGGAAATGGTAGCGGTCTGGCACGCATCTTGGCCGGCGGGCACCTGCTCCGGCCCCATTACCTGCGGTGGCTCCGGGCATGCTGGGGTAGGGGGTGGCGGCGGCGGCGGCGGCCGGCTGGCTCATGTACACTGTGTGCATGGGGGAGCCCTCCACAGAGCCCGCGGGGCTGAAGGTGCCCGGGAAGCTTGTCGGACCCGAGGGCTGGTACAGCACAGCCCCGGCCGCGGGCATGGCCTGGAGCTGGGGACAGAGAGAGAGGTGGTCAGAGCGGCCCCAGCAGCAGCCCCCAGCTAGGGGTAGGGCAGCATGTGTCTGGGGGCCGTGAGGGGGCGAAGTAGGCAGGGGTTGCCGCATGCCTGGGCATAGGGCAGGGAGAAGGCGGGCATCTGGGCGCGCATCTGGACCGTCTGCTTCTGCTGCTCTAGGCGCAGCTGCCGCTCCTGCTCCTGCTCCCGCAGCCGCTGCACGGCCAGCTGCCGCTGCACCTCCAGGTACTCCTGCGGGCCACGGGCAGCCGTCAGCGCAGTCCCTGAGCTTGCCCCCTCCCCAGCGGGGCTGGGCACCCCACCTGCTTTTTCTGCCGCATGATCTCCAGCTTCTGGGCCAGCTGGATCTGGCGCTGGCGCTCGGCCTCCTCGGCTGCCCGGCGAAGCTTCTCTCGGTGCTCCTCCCGCAGGGCACTCAGCGCCCCCCGGGCATCGCGGATCTGCGCCAGCTTGTCCTGCAGCCCCTCGTAGTAGACTGCGGGGAGAGGGCCGCGCCGCGAGTGTGTGGCGCGGGAGGGGAGCGCCCACAGCCCAGCACCAGGCTGTGGCCACCAGGCCGAGCGCCTCACCCTCGCCCAGCCAAGCACCTATGTGCGGTGCACCACTGGCCTCTGGGGTCCCAAGGTCAGGGCCCGGCCGGGATTCTTCCTGGAGTGGACAGTGCTACGCTCGCTGGGCCACCTCCCACCGCTGGGACCACCTCCCGCCTTGCCCGCGGCCCAGAGACCCGCTCTGAAGAAGCTGCTGTCGCGGAGGGTTCCCACCCAAGGACCCGTCCCCCCGGCCACCGCGAGCGGCCGGCATGGAGCGCTCCCGTGACAGCACGCCGAGGGGCCCCCGGGAGGTGGCGACACCTACGCCGGCGCTCGTCCAGCTGGTTGAGCAGCTCCAGCAGCTGGGGGTGCATGCCGTTGATGGACTGGAAGAGGGACAGCACGGCTGAGTCGTTGGTGATGCTGCGGCCCCGCACGTGGTTGCTCTTCATGCGGTTGACGAAAGTGGTGACGGCGTTCTGCAGGGCCTTCAGGAACTGCGCGTGGCTCTCCTCCGACTCCCCGTTCTGGTACTGCTGCGGGGACACGCAGCGGGATCTCGCGGAGCTGCCCCCCAACCCCAGGCGCGGGGGCCCCATCCCCCCAGGGGTGCTGCGAGAGGACCCCGTGAGCACACACACCCTTTGACGAACGCCAACACTGAGACCCAAGGAGGCTCAGCTCGTGCACTGGGGCGTGGCGCTGGCCGGGACAAAGCTGGCTGGAGCTCCCGCAGCCTGGCTTGCAGCCCCTCTGCCCCTGCCCCGAGCGGGGCCTGCCTCTCTCGAACAGAACCCAGTCTCTGCATCCAGGGACCAACAGAGCCCAGAAGCTCTAGGACAGAGCAAGGACTCAGCCAGGTAGTTCCGGGCCGCCCTAGAATATCCTGATCCTTCTAGGCAGTAAGTGGCCACGCTCTGGGTTCCATCGAGAGCTCTGGGTTGGAATGGCCTGCCCCTGAGAGGTCACAGTGGGCAGGACTCGGCCCTGTCAGGAGAAGGTGCCCGTGTGCGGCCTGTGAGGGAGCCACAGCTTACCTCGCCAAAGGGGCCGCTGGACGGAGCTACGGGTTGAGCATCTGTCTCCGGGAGGGGAGTCTGGAAGAAGGCAGAGGGGGTGCGGGGTCCGTTGGCCTGTCACAGGGCACCCCCCGCCCAGCCCAGGACTGTGGGCCCGGAGCGCTGAGCGCCGCCCACCTCCAGCGCGCTGGCAGGGACGGCGTGGCCCTCTGCAGGCGGGGCGGCCGGCTCCGTCAGGGGCGCGGGCGCGGACGGGGTCGGGCTCTTGCGGGCCTCCTCCTGCTTCTTCTCCCAGTAGTTCCGGTTAAGGTACCGGGCGAGCTGTGCACACAACGAGCGTCACCCCCAAGGGCCGGGGGCTGCAGGGGAGGGCACTGCATGTGGGGGCGCCCTCACCTCAGGGTCGATGTCCTCAGCCAGCGGCGCCGACGAGGTCTGGGGGGAGACGGGCCAGAGCAGCCATGACCCACGGGCTCCAACACATTCCCAGCTCCTCCCAGGCTGTCACTTGGGAGGCTGGGATGCCACCACGGTGACAGTAGACCCCAGGCACCGGCTGGTCCGTCCGAGGGGCCCCCAGAGGCTCTGTGACCGAATAAGGCGCGGGGCAGTAACCTCCCCAGCCTGCCCAGCAACGACACGCTGTTTGTGCGCCCTCCCACCTGGCCCCACCCAGAGCCCCACAGAGCTTGCCCGGACTTCCTGAACCTTCTGTCCCACCTGCCACCCACCCCTATTCAAAGAGGGTGGCGAGGCCAGAAAAAGGCCACCTTCGACCCCAGGGTTTGCCGCCTCCTCTCACTCTGGGGAGGTCCTCCGTCTTCCCAGTGTCCTCCTCCCCCACAGGGAACCCCCGACCAGGCGCGCAGGGCTGGTGAGGGCCAGGCTGGACCTCGACCCTCCCTGGCTTGATCAGACCGTCCTCTCTGGGGCGTCCGTCCCACCGTCTCGCACGGAAGCGTGGCCCAGCGAGCGGCGCTCACCACGGGCGAAGAGTACAGGCTGCTGGCAGGGGGCGCCGATGAGGCCACGGGCGCCGGCTCGGCCTTAGGGTACGTGGCAGCAGCGTAAGCCGACTTCTGTCTCTGTGGGAGAGACAGGAAGGGTCCCGGTGCGCGTGGGCCAACCCCACTCTACTCTGCCTTCCCCAAACACCCAGGGGCACCCCTCCCCCGGCGCCGCCGCACCAGGGGAGCCCCGCTGCGGCTCACCATCCTCTCCTTCTCCTCTGCCTCCGACTGCGACAGAGCCAGGGCCAGCTGCAGCTCCTCCTCCTCCTGCAGCGCCGTCTCGTCCCGCTTGGGGGGCAGCTGGGGACACACAGGCTGGTGAGCGGGGCCCAGGAGCGAGGCACCCCCAGGGACCCGCGGCCAGTACCTGGGACTGCTGGGACAGGGGGCTGGTCAGGTACTCTGGGGGCAGCTCCGTCGTGGACGAGGCCTTTCCTTCCGCTTTCCTGGAGGAGAGACGACACTGGGTGGCTGAGCACCACCCCCCGGCCCCCAGCAGGCCCACGGGCAATGCTCTGGAGAAAAACTGCTGTGTCAAACCAGCTGTGTCGCCTCTGGGACACGGGACCCCGGCCTAAGCCCCAGGCCCCTTTCCTGGAAATGAGGTTCAAACACAGGAAAAGAACTTTCCAAGAGAGCAGCCTGCCTGCAGGCACCAGCTAACCAAGGAAGGAGATCCCATCGCTGATGCTGGGAGACGGACAGCACGTGCCCCCAGGACGGCTGCATGGAGAGCAACAGCCTCATTCTGGGATCACACAAGGAGTGCACAACCTGACTCCAACCACGAGACCCCAGACCCAAAGCAAGGGGGCACCACACCAGCCCAGGCCCTTGAGAAACGCACATGTCAGCACAAAGAGGCTGCGAGCAGACCTGCGTCACGGAAGCGAGCCGCCGCGACGGCCACCTGCATGTGCTGGGGGCCCGGGTGGGCCTGACGGGGACAAAACTGGCACAGGACCTGACTGGGACCGGTCACTCTCAGAGCTTCAGAATGGACACGACACGTGGGAACACCCGAGCAGATGGGGAAGGGAGACCCGCCGTTAACCGAGGAACCTGGGAGGAGCCCGTGCCCCATGGGGTCGGCTTCCCGTGCCCGTATCTTTTCCCTGTTTGACGTCCAAGCTACTAAGCTACAAAGCAGACAAAGTGACAGACAAACCCAAGTCAGGACAAGCAGCCCGGCCCCTGGGAGCACAGCCCCACCCCCGGGCACCTGGCAAGGACTCACTTGTTCAGCTGCTCATAGCAGGGCTCGCACACACGCACCTCCTTCTCGATGCCAAACTTAGGGATGGTCGAGTACTTAGACGAGCACTTGCCACAGAAGATCTGGCCGCACGCCCGGCAGTGGTGCTGTGACATAGGGCGGGTCAGGGTGCGGCCTGGGGCTGGGCCGCTGACCCCTGGCACCCACCCCATCCACTGCTGCCTGCCACACGGGGTGTCAGGCCTGCCAGAGTGGGCAGAGGACAGAGACCACCCAGACCCTAGGGAAATGGCACGTTTCCAGGCTCTCAACTGCAACCACCGTTTAGGGGAAAAGAAGTCAAATTAAAAAGAAAAGTTCATAAGAATCATGCACAAGTTAGGCCAGGAGAGAAGAGGCTTTGCTGACGGTGGCCCAGGGAGTCTGCTCAGATGCCCCTGCCTCGGCCTTCACCATCACGGTCAGTGCCTCAGGAGGAAGAAGAACGGCGGCTCGAGGCCCAGAGCACACAGGTGGTGAGCCGCAGGAGGCCGGAAGGGGCCATGGGCCCAGGAAACACACGCCCGAGCCTCCCGCAGCCCCAAGCCTGCAGCACTCCTGTCCCCTGGGGGACACAGCCGTGTCCGAGCTTCGTTGGGCAGCAGAGACCATCGGACTCGGGGCCCCTGGTGGCCCTGCTCACCACAGAGCTAGGGGCTGGATCTGCTCCACGCCCCACAGGGTCACAGCCAAGAGGAAAAGGACCCCAAGTAGCTCTAGTGGCCTCGCGGGGACAGCGAGGGGTGTGGGGTCAGCCCTGGGGCGGGCACACTCACCTTGCGGGTCACCACCCCGAACTGCACTCTACAGCGGTGGCACTCCTCGGCGTCCACCCAGTCAGGGGCCTGGTTGGGGGGGGTGGACAGGAGGACTCAGGATCGCACGGGGCCCCCGTCCTGGCCAAGACCCCACTGTGGGCTCAGGGGCTGAGGGCCCAGTCTGCAAGGCCGGAACCCACCCCAAAGGGCGCTTCTCTGTACAGGCGTGAGCGCGGACTCCCCGCGGCTGGGGGGCAGTATCCGCCCGAACCACAAGAGCCCGCGTGCCGAGCTGCGATCCAAACGGAGCTCCTGGAGGCACGGCTGCCCGGCCCACGCGTGTTGTTTCTGAGACAAAACAGCAGCTCACCCACTGACGTTCCCCCCCCGCAACAAGCCAGGACCCCGGGACCTCACTTCTGCTTCCTCAAAGCAGCCGGACTCCTGGGGCGCCCGGCTGGCTTAGTTAGAAGAGCGCGGGGCTCTCGAGCTCAGAGTCACAAGTTTGAGCCCCACATTGGGTGCAGGGATTGCTTAGATAAAAAAAAAAAAAGAGAAAGCCAATTCCTAGATACCCAGCACCCCGGAACTCACTCTCTCTGCAGCAAACATAGCATCGCTCTCCTTGAACTCTGGGAAGACGTGTCCTGGAGAAAGGAGACCATGGTCACCGCCAGTGCCACCCTGGCACGTGAGGCCCTCAGTTGGCCTTGCCCGGTCTGCCCCAAGACCTTCAGGAGCCATGTCCTAGCTCCGGGCACCCACCTCCCCAAGCAGACCTACAAGAGGAGGCCCAGAGCCCTTGGGCAGCAAGCGCAGTGACCCGGCCCCAGGCGAGGGCGCCTGGCTGTGTGAGGCCACCCCGTCCCAGGGCTTGGGGCCTGGCCTCACTCGCAGCACATCGAGGCCTCACAGATCTTCCCTGAACCTCCTGTCCATCTCCCGGCCCCACACTCCAGCCCCTTGTACCTCTCAGGACTCTTAAAATAGATGCCCAAGCTTTTTGTGGAGCCACAGGTCCCTCAAGGATGCCATAAAGTTTTGGGCTGTCTCCCCAGAAGAGTGAACGCAAGCATTCCCCCACCACCCCGTGCCCGGGATTCAGGGCCTGAGACCAGCTCACAGACGCAGACAGGACCCTCATCACAGTCTCCACAGAGTCCTACTCGCTCGTAGCCACCAAACGCTACCCCTGCTCCGTGCCTTATTTCAGGGCCTCCGCATAGGTGGGGGCCGCCCTACTCCCAACTCACTGCCCAGTGTGAGCACTATCCACGGCCCTCCTTGCCAAGCCCCAGCAGACCTGCGTGGCCGCTGCAGCAGCTGGGAGGAGTGCAGATGAGGCCCTGAGAAGGTCCCCCGGCTGTCACAGCCCCGCAGCAGCCCTCCCAGGATTTCCCGCCCTTCTCAGGGCACCCCAGCTCCTGCCTGAGTCACTCCTGTGGGTTGACCCCTCCTGCACCTTGTCCCCTGTCTGCGAGGGCCCCGGGGCCTGGGACGCGAGTACTCCATGGGATGCTGGCTTGTTTACACGTTCAGGTCTGGCACGCCAGAGGCCTGCTCTCTAGGACTTCTCCCACCCCTCGTGCTAAGTCCGCCTCCAAAGGCCAGGGCCCCCGGCTCCGCGTCCTTCCTAGGACCCAACGCTCGGGAAGTAGCTCCTCGGCTCAATCTACTCACTTGGCTGGGGTCCAGCACGTGCCCCTGCCCTGCCCCAACCGGGCGTGAGATCAGGAAACGTAGGGGCTCCAGAGCCCAGAGCACACTGCCACCGCCACCGGTCACACACTGTGGTGCTGTCCCCCTGCCCTGGACGGGGCGCGCACAGCCTTCCTCGGCCCATGAGAGGTGGCCTGCCGGGCCTGGGACCCGACAGACCTCGCCCCACGCACCTTCCACCTTCATGATCTGGTACGTGTCCTGGACCACCTTGTACTTGGGCTCGTTCCGGAAGGCGTGCGCCCAGGCCTGGATCAGGTACAGAATCTTATTCCGGACGTTTACTTCCACCTGCCTCTGCGCAGAAAAGAAGAAACAGAAGGACAGTGAGGGTGGTGGCAGGAGACGTGAACACCAGCGACGTCTGTGTGAGAAGTGGCAGGAAGACTGCGCCACTCTGAGTGTGCGCGGAGGCAGAGGCGGGGACGGTGCCGTGCCCTGCATGGGACACTGGGGCCAGGTGGACCCACTCCCTAGGCCCAGCCCTCCGCCATGAAGCCGCGTCCCCAAGGACAAACTCATCACAGAGGTGTGCCCACTCAGGGCCCGACTCTTCCTTAATGCCCTGGGTAAAGCTGGGGAGTCCCCAAAGCAAGGCTCCCCAGGCCCACTACCCTATAACCACCTGCTTCTTCCTCTCCTGCCCCTAGGAGCTTGGCTGTTAAGGGCCCGAGTCTGAAAACCAGTGTGGCTCCCAGAAACCCCAGGCTCCACCAGGCGGTGCCCACCAGCCCCGCGCCGAGGGAGCAGATGTGAAGCCGGCCGCCTCGCCTCTGCTCTTGGCCAGCCTGGGGGGCGGGGGGCGGGCACCCCAGGAGCTGCCCCACGCGCAGAGCCACCACTTCCGCCAGCTGGGCAGACCATCAGTCACGTTCCTAGAGCTCTCCGGGGGACGCTCAGGAACACGGCAGCAGAAAGCCGCTCCTGGGGATGCCAACCGCATTCTCCCACTAGGTTTCTAGTGACTCCTTGTAATCTGCACCTGTCAGTAGGTCCCTTGCCTAGTGGGACCCTCCCTTTCTCCACAGGGGCACTAACGGGCTCAGACCGACCCTTCTGCTCTTTCAGCCACAGCAAGGACTGGCTGGGTCACTAGTTGGGGCCCGGCTCAGGTCCCAGATGGGCTCTCGGCCCCATGAGGCCACGGGCACCCACACGGGCCAGGAAGCGGAGGCCCTGTCCACCAAGGGTAGTAGAGACAGCGTCTGGGACTATGCTCTTTGACCACTGCCCCTGTCACCTCACCCCTGTGGGACGGGTGCACCCCGTACCGCCCACTCTGCATCACACAACCCGCCAGTGTCACCACCCACATCACAATCCCTGCAGGTGGGCAGCGGTGGCCTGTGGGGCCGTGGGCGGTGGCCTGTGCGTTCTCTCTTGCAGCCCTGGAGACCCGTCCCTCCCCTACAAATGGAGGGTGTGAGACCCGCTCCCAAGGTGCCACTGCCGTGCCGCGTCCCCTAACCTCCCCATACAGACACGGCAGACACGCACACCCCCCTGCTTGGAATCTGGGTGGGGCCCCCCCCCGCCCCCGCTGGTTCCCCCCCCCCCCCCGGGCCTCCGCCCGCGCGCGGCTCCTTCCCCTCCTCCTCCACCACCGCGAGGCTCTGAGCCCTGCGCCCGGGAAGACGCTCCTGATCCCCCCAGGAAGAGCGGGGTCTCCCCTGCGTCCGCAGACACAGCGGCCACGTGCGCTTCCAGTAAAGCCGCAACGTCATCAAGCTGGGGTCCCCAGGGGCGGGGCCACCACCGCCGGCCTTCCCGCCCCGGCCCGGCCCCGCCCCGCCCCG